CTGATCTAGGTATTCAACATGACATGTTTGCCTTATGTGCTCTTCCTTCCTCCTTCCTTCTTACTCTTTTGACAATAGCAATAACAAAATGGTAAAAGCACCTGGTTAAAACGTTTTTACCTTTAAACTTACAGTCACAAAGGACTGGCTCAAATAAATTGTAATTATAGACAAAGGACCTGTAGATTAAATTAAAAATAAATATCAACTGAAGGGCTTGTTTAGAAACAACAAACAAGTTGGCAGGCAGGGGAGGGGGGAAATTATCTGCCATCTAAAGCTAAGTTCCAGGTTTTGCTTGCAGGGAGAAACCTACCACTGGCACATTAACTATCTAAAATTATCTTTCCTTTGTTCCTATTTCCTGATACTGTTAGGTAGCTGGGTTGTAGAAAAAGACATAGAAGAATTTTCAAATTATGATAAATTTTTATCATCTTACAAACAGAGAAACTCAAGGCTTTCTGTTATATATACCTTTTCAGCAATATTTAGCATAAGCGTTCCAGGATAGACAGATTTATTAAAATTGACTTCTTAAGTTAAATTGAGCCAAAACAACATCATATTAGATAATGACTACTTTGAAAAATGTTCAAATGCTTAAATTAGACACTAAATTAGAAGAGAAAGAGTTGTATTATTTTCATTCGGTTTTTCTATTTTTCTATATATTCTCTCTATAATTCTATATCTCTGGTACTTCCAGATGACTGAAGTGGAGTAGTTAGTTTAAGAGCCTTGGGCCTTTGCCACCACTCTAGAAAAACCTTAAGGTTCTCACCGAGGCTCAATAATGCTCAGTAAATATATGCATACATTTTTAATTCAAAGTGCACTCAGCCATTCATACAGGTATTATTGATTCTTTATTTGAAAAGGTTGTATGTATCAACTTTTAATATGTACTTAGAAGTCACTTGCAAAGGCATGTATTGGGGAAAAGATAATGTATATAAACATGGCTTTTAAAGGAGTAAAATATTAGCTTGAGTAAGTTGGAGTGTCCAGAAGCAGTGCCCATATTCTCAACTCTTGATCTCTTTCCTTACATCTGGCTCCATCACTTCCCCACTGTTTTGTATTTTGAAATAGGAAACAGTAATGTAAAAACAACCTCACTTTTGAGAACCAGATCCCTTGCCCCCTTTCCAATTTCCTTTCTGGGCCTTGTCTGAATGTATCCCCGCTTTATTCACTGTCAAATGGTAATTAGGCCCTAAAATACAGCTTATTTAATGGACTGAGTGGTTTCAACTTTGGCCATATTTTCAGTAACAAAATAATAATAATAATAATAATAATAATAATAATAACTGGTACATTTTGGTGGAACGCGTCATTCATGGTCTAAGCATTCAATTGACAGGAACACGAAGTAACAGTGGGTTTCTCGGCTATCTGCCACAGGACCAAGGGAAAACAATTGTAGAATACAGTAAACTGTAGAACTTAAAACACTAAATTGTAGAACTGTAGATTCTTCTACCATTGGAAGGTGCCCTGTCTTTCCACCCTGATCTTATATTGCTCCTTAACCTCTGAATATGCAGTGCTCATTTTTCTTTTAACATGAAGACTTTTGGATATAGGCTCCCCTAACCTTAACTTTTCTACTGTCATAGTCATCTATTTAAAATTCTACCCATTCTTAAAAGTTCAGCAAAACCTAATCTTCTCCTTAGATCATTCTCTGAGGATAGTAGCCCACAGTTCCTATAGCGCCAACAACAGAACCTCTGCTTAGGCATCTCATTAATTCATCTGACATATAATCATGCACTATTTTGTAGGAGCAAATTGTGTGCCTTAGTTCCCTTCTCTCCAATAGACTGTAAATACCTTGAGGATGGAAGCCATATATATTTCCTACTTTATCCTCTAGAGCCCTAGCAAAATTCTGAAGACATAGTGAGCATTTCCTAAATTTAATTAGTTACATCTTTTTCTTAACTCTTGCCATAGGTTAATGTCTTCTTTCCCTATAGAAGTATATACATCCTAACAGCAAAAACTATAGCTAAGACTTTTGTGTTCCACATATAGCAGTTGATCTGTCAGTATTTCTTGAGCAAAGGAGAATATCATGCCTCTGAAGAATGGTGTGATTGGGCAGTTTAAACAACTGTTTCCTCTTAAAGATTATGCTGTGGAACAAGTGAGCAGCATAGCATCTGATGTCTAATCTGACAAGTCAGTTCTTCAGATGCCAATGGCCATATTGGATTGTTTCTATTCAGAGAGTAACAATGGCATGGGGTGTTTTTTTTTTCCCTCCATCGTTTAATCTATAGCACCTTATGTAGTACCTGGCATGTTGTAGGCCATTAGTAAACATTTATTGAATTGAAATTGAATAAATTCAACAGGTAATTGAAGTATTTATTGAAGTTGTACCACTTACCCCATTATGTCATTTAATCCTTATGACAATAATTTCTGGAGGGTAATTATCCATCATTTTACAGATGATGAAACCAAAGCCCAGAGATATTCAAAGCACTGTCCAACTTCACGGCTAGAAAAGGACAGAGTGAGGAATACAAAGTTTGCTTTGCTTGGGCCCTCTAAACCCAAATTCCACATCCTTTTTGTTACATCACACTGTCTTGCCTTCAGGAATTTTATTTTGTTGCATGGGCCTCAGGTTAATTAATATATCTCCTAGTCTATAGGAAAACCTCATACTGGGCCCAAGTCTACCTAAACTTGGTGGAGGAGTAGTTTCAAGTAATGACTCTTGAAAAAGCTAGTTGTATGTTCATTGAAAAACTTAAGGCTGCTTGGGAAGAGACTTTTGACATTAAAAAGGCAAGTAGGCAAAGACCTATGACAGTAGTTTCAAAGGGAAATATTGCTTTTCACAATTGTTATTATTTTATTTTATTACCATATTTTTACCTTTTTAAACCTGTTTTCCTTGATCTGAATTCTGGTTATTTATTTGCCCATCTTACTTCCCCATAAAGGTGACTACTGGAACAAAAAGTTGCTCCTTACCCTTCACCTCCACCCTCAATCTCAGATAGTATGGAGAACACTAATCTTATTTCTAAAATTATCTGTTTATATTAAAGGAAAAAATACCCCCTAAAATAATATAGAGATTTGTGGATTGGTTTTAGAACTGGAAGGAAATTTACACATTGGTGGGCTGAGTGACTTGATCAAGGTTAGTGTTAGCTAACCTCTTAGTTAAAGTGTAACCTAAAATGGACCCTAGAGATCATCTAGTTCAACCCCTTCATTTTTCAGAAAAGTGAACAGGTGCACACAATCCCAATACCTTTCAAGGTAAATATAATGTCATCCCACAATGACCTCGCTTCTAGTTGCAGAAATGACTGATGTTTTGTGTGCCTTTGTGTTAACTTAAGGTAGATTCTTAAATATACCCGCACCCCATAACTATAGTGGGCAGAATTGAATGTTCAGTAGCTTTTTGGAAACCTCACCATGGAAACAAAGGTTTGGATTCTCAGATTGGATTTTGCCGTTCTTCCTCTAGAGCAGATAAATTGAGGCTCCTGCAGGCATGGGTCCTGTCAGATGAGACTTTAAATTTCAAAGTAAAAGATTCTTCTCGGCAGGATATTAAAGCGTGTTGTGGTGCACTATTAGTAAGGAATGCAGCCTGTCCCAATTCTCTTGGCCGACCCTTTGAAAACCATGACTGAGGGAAAAATCTTGTTCTTGGCCTCCTGGATTCTTAGATGCTCTAAAGGAATGTAATTGCTTTTTATAGCTAATAGACACTTAAAATTGCTTCCAAAGAAAGTGTGTCTAACTGCTTATTTTTAATATAGTATAATGAAGATATGAAAAAGTCAAAATACATGTTTTTGAGCATATTAAAAAATATTTTTTATGCCCAAACTGCAAGAGCTTTAGAAAGTCAGTTCCACCTCTGGGAGGTAATTTTTTTTGTGCAGGGTGAGGACCTGGTTCTGTAACCTAGAAAATGGAACAGTTGTTAGGTGGTTGCCTAGAAGGATGGCAATAGAAAATAAAGGGATTATTTCACCCTTATTTCCAAGCTGACACAACATGTTTTAAGTGAATGGTTTTTGGTTTCATTACCTTAACAGCATCTCCCTGTGCTCTTTGATGCATCGCTCCAGTGCTTAGTAATTTAGTAACAGGTTGGAGATGGACTGGGGGGTAAAATGAGACTCTGTCACCATAGGGACAGCTACCTCCCTCTTATTTTTGAATTAGCATGGCAGCAGAAGGTGACATTTTCGCCCCAGGGTTCAGGGGAAAAATAAAGTTAGAAATTATACCATACAAATAAACTTGTTGAATGGACGAGTCCTCCAGAATCTGCTCTTAAAGTACCAGGTGATCAGAGATTGATGTGTTCTCATCAACTCAACGTGAGACGTGATACTTTTACTTGTGTATGAAAGAAAAAGATGAACGTTTTCATGACAAAAATTACCTGTTCATACTTTGTGCTCTTGTAAGACTTGGTTTATTTGAAATGCAGAGGAGCTGGTTTTCTAATCTTTTGAGGCATGCCATTAATTATTATTATTAACCAAAGGGGCTGAATGAAATCCTAGGCATAAAAGTGATCAACTCCACATTTAATATTGGGTGTATGACTTAACATTTATTCCATTTTGCCTGCTTTCCATTAGGCTTAGGGCACATCAATGACTATGCCTCACCAAATCATTTGAAGAAAGGAGTTTCCTATAAATATCTGGAACAGCTATCAGATAAGACAGTATATATACCATATTTATTAAAAAAAATCTTTGTCACAGTTACAATTTCCAAATATCCTTGACTACAAAAATTATGTGGTTCAGCCAATAAAATTCACATAGAACGCTAGAATAATCACTGCAGTCTTTTTGGCCACCAGTACAATTAGAATAATCCCTGCAATGTTATTTAGATCTTAGAAGTGCTGGTATTACTTCCTTTTGTGATTGTGTCTTTGCTTTTGAGTATATGCATCTTGCCGCTAAACAACTGACCTTTGGTTAAGATCTACACTGAATGGAGCCGCTGCCCACACCGCCATCAGCGCCTTCACTGCCATCCCCGCTGTCCTTGCAGCCCCCGCCATGGGCCTAGAACTGTACCTGAACCTGTTGTCCCAGCCCAGCCGCGCCGTCTACATCTTCGCCAAGAAGAATGGCATCCCCTTCGAACTGCGCACTGTGGATATTATCAAAGGGCAGCACAGAAGCAAGGAGTTCTTCCAGATCAACAGCCTGCAGAAAGTGCCTGTGCTCAAGGATGGTGATTTCATCTTGACCGAAAGCTCAGCCATCCTGATTTACCTGAGCTGTAAGTACCAGACGGCGGACCACTGGTATCCATCTGACCTGCAGGCTCGTGCCCGTGTTCATGAGTACCTGGGTTGGCATGCTGACTGCATCCGCGGCACCTTTGGTGTACCCATGTGGGTCCAGGTGTTGGGGCCACTCATTGGGGTCCAGGTGCCCGAAGAGAAGGTGGAACGCAACAGGACTGCCATAGACCAGGCCCTGCAATGGCTGGAGAACAAGTTCCTGGGGGACAGGCTCTTCCTTGCTGGCCAGCAGGTGACGCTGGCTGATCTCATGGCGCTGGAGGAGCTGATGCAGCCGGTGGCTGTCGGCTACGAACTATTCAAGGGACGGCCACGACTGGCAGCATGGCGTGAACGAGTGGAGGCTTTCCTGGATGCTGAGCTGTGCCAGGAGGCCCACAGCCTCATCTTGAGCACCCTGGAACAGGCGGCCAAGAAAACCCTCCCAACACCCCCACCAGAGGTCTATCCGACTATGCTACTTCGAATTGCCAGGATCCCCTGAAGGGTCTGGAATGGGGCCCAGGAGATTCGCCATGAGGATTCATTCTGTTACTTACTTGCCCCTGTTTATCTTTCCATCTTGCCCCAGTCCCTTGTCTCCAGCTTCATGTGAAGCTCTGCACAGGCAAGACTGTGTCCTTGGCAGTGCTGCTTCTCCTTAGGTACAGCATACATAACCAGTAAGAGACTAAATCTGCAATACATAAAAAACTCCTACAAATCAGTAACGTGAAGAACACTCAAAAATTGGTAAATGTCATCAGTGTTTTAAATATAATAAAGATTCCAAACACTTTGAATAGGGAAAAAAAAAAAAAAAAAAAAAAAAAAAGATCTACACTGAATGAAGAATAGTTAGAAACTTCACAAGGAAAGTTGCTATTTAACTCCCCCGACCCCCGCCCCAAACAATGCTGATGATTTGCAAGAATTTGTAGTTTCTAGGGTACAATATTTTTAATAGAAACATTTCAAAGATTTTCAAGTGTTCATGGACACTGGAATACTGGAAGGCACAGTAACTTTTAAGGTTTAGGAAAGATACAGCATTTAGCTGCAATTTATGAAATGATAGCAAATACCATGAATTTTATTTCCTGGGACACTAATTGACTTGGGTAGGGAAATTAAGAGATGATAAGCTATGTGATTAGAGATTCATTCAAAATTTAGAGGTTCATTTACATTAACAAGTCTTTCTTTTGGATTCAAATGTTTTCTGAAAGTGCTGGTTAGTTATACTTTAGTGTAAATTTCCTTAATTAGTTCAATAAGATCCAGTATTTTGGAGAGAAAAGGAAGAGGGGGTTTGATGTCACAGAAGTTGGATAAGGGAACTGAATGGACAAGAATAATCACGGTAAAAACTGAACCACAAGGCATGGGACTCCTGCCCCTTCCCCAGACTCTTCTATCCCTGGACCCTTCCCAACTCATCTTTCCCTTTATTAAGATAATTTTTAGACTGCCCTATCCTTAGAGAGCTCTACACACTGTTCCTAGTAATGCAGGTATGCCAGAGAGTTGAGAGTTCACTCCTAGGTATAAAATATTCTTCTTAGGAAATAAAGTACAAAGCAATTAACCTCACCTCCTCCCAAACTCCACCTCCACTGCCTTTATTTTCAAAGAGCTGTGATAAGAGTGAATAGTAAGCATGGCAATAGAAGTCTACCTAGAAGGTAATTCATACCTTTCTAGTTGTTTCTACTTATTTACAGTCAGTTAATCATTCAGTCTTTTTGCACGTGAGTTTGTGGACCCTTTTGCATGTGTCTGGTTCACTCAGCATGTTGGTGATTGGTTACTTGCTGGAGATGTTTGTGAAAGGGTTGATACAATTTTGAGTTGGGCTGTTAAGATGGGTTGGGTTGGTTCCCTCCCGGGCCTATGCCAATGTGAGGACTTAGGAGAGGGATGGCAAATAAGTTTCAACAAAGTGCCCCTTTGATTAATCATTAATGTCTACATAATGTCCTTGGTTGAAGAGAGTTCTGAGACCATGTCCAAACTTTTGGAGAGAAACGTGTGTGATCAATTAGTTTATGTCCACTTTCTGTAAAAAGCATTAGTGTGTATAAGCGTGTTTGCCATCTCTGTTCTGGAAAATTCAGCAAGTTGATTCTGACCTGCATTTTCATGTGAAACTGTTTCCATGTCTTTCTGTTCATGTTCAATGACTGAATCTTGAACCCCATCCAGTTATTGTACATGACAAATTGTGTTGGTCTGAAGAGGAAACAAGAGAGCATGGTTCAACATTAGGTGCATTCTTAGAAAATAACTCAGTATATTTATGAGGAGAATTTCTCAAATAAAGGGCAATACTTTAAAAATGTAGACATGTAGATAGGTATTAGATAATTTGCTGCTATAGCTATAATTAAAAGTGTCAAAAAAGTTGATAGGTGATCTTACAAGGCAATGCAATAATAGACCTCAACGTACAACCGTCTACTTAAAACATGACCTGTTGCATGTAGCATCGTTTTTGAGTAGGACTGGCTTTGAAGCAGTCTCAAGAAATTATTGCCCAGGTTCATATCTTCCACTAGTCAACCACAGGATTTCCCCATCAGGTCATATAAAGTGAGACACTAGATGTGTGTGATTTATATGAATTGCTGTTTGCCGGGATCTGTGTGAAAGGCTGTCAAAAGGGATGTTGCCTTTAATCTAAAAGTACTCAGCTGTTGGCATTTTGGCATTGTCCCTACTCAGAAATGAAGATATGAGATTTAAGGTATTTCTGAGGAATTTTAAATAATTGCTAGAATCAATTTGAGTTCTGTGAAAACCTGTACACATCATTGGAGTGAAAACAAAGGACTATTCATATGGATGATCCCTTGCCAAATTGGGCATGTGAAAGCTTATAAGAATTTGCTTATATACCTTAATATGATGAATTAATGCCTTAAGAATATAACTCCTTCAAATGCCTTAAATTTCAAGAGGGTTTTACTAACCTTGTTTCCTTTTAAGAATGTGATGCATTTGGAACAATATAGGTGGGCAAATGATTCTTTAAGCATTGTGCTTGGCACCAAAGAGGAATTAAAATACAAGGTTTACAGATTGTGTATGCTAAGACATCAACAAAGCCAGAAAGTGGAAAGATCAGTGCTGGTATTTTCTCCCATGTTGAGCGACTGTAGCAGGTATACATTTCTCTAAATAGAATGGGCACATCATTTTGGTCTGATTAATCTCAGCAAACGAAGGTGAATTAAAAATTCACCTTAGAGAGACCTTAGTCTCAGCATGAGTTGAAATCAGCGAAGTTCTCCAAGTTGTAGATGAACAAGAGAATTAAAGGTATTTTTCATTATGTTATGCAATGTGCTTTCCATATGTAATACATTCCTCCCAGACTTTAGCAATAAGATAGTATTTCCCTTTCAAATAAACTACATACCTTCCTTTATAAGAGAGTAAGGCTTCACATTTCCCTTGTTGCATTGACTGCCAGGAGTCTCAGGGCTATATTTAATACTCAATATCAGAAACAATATCGTTGTAGCTTCCTGACACAATAATGCTTTTTTTCCTAGGTGATTTCTGTTCTGCCTCAAAATGATTGCTACTTTACAAGTGCTATAAAATTGTAAGTCACATCAAATCCTTTGTTAGGATATAAAATAAAAATATCTAAGAGTTGTTGAATAATGTCTATGTTCTTTGAACTTAAGATCTAAAGGAAAAAAAATCTAGAAATTTGAGCCTTAAGATTGTCCAAATAGTTGTAAAACTAAACTTAAATGTGGCAGGGGCAGGGTTGTTGTGTGCAAATGAAAGTTTAGAAATAAAGCTGAGTCCATCATTATTCTTTGTGTATTCAAGACACTACTGGTATCTCCTGTTTTTTCACATGGTAAATTGCCACCCCACTGCCATGGACCTCATGTCTGTCCATGTTTCACCTGTGTTAATCCAGCATCTGTGGAAACTTTGCTCAAATGCTGACTCTTTCTTGAAATCTCTGTATGGATATTCTTGCTGTTAGATGCTTTCTAATTCTTCTGATACTTATTTTTCCACTAATACTCCTTTATCTTTCACATTATTATTACTCACCCACATTCATCTTATCTCCCCACATAGCTCCTAGACCATTCCTTCTCAATCTGCCTACATATTGGATCACCACAGGAATATAGAAAAATGCTGATGTCTGAATCTCATTCCCAGAGATTCTAATTTGATTGATCTGAGGTGAAGCTTGGGCACTGTGGGTAATTCTATCTGAAGCCACAATTGGTGAGGTTAAGCCACTGTGTTTATAAAGTTAATATCATTCTTAGTCATCTTTCTTTGCTCTAAGAACAGTGTCTTGCACCTAGTAGGTGTTTGAAAAACATTTATTGATACATCTGGCAGAGCACCTGTTGAGAAAACTTTTATTCTGTCAACCTGATAATCTTTAGAGAAGTATGATTATTTTTGTCTCATTCATTCTTTCCTTTATACAGCAAGTATGCATTAAACAATCTTAGTGTAAAAGTTTGTGTGTGAAGTTAGAAGTGTAGTCCAGATTTAGTTCCACCCTTGGACTGACCTCCAAGGAAAGCTATATATAAAAGTTCAAGTCAGGTTAGGTGCAGTGGTTTATACCTGTAACCCCAGCACTTTGGGAGGCTGAGGCAGGAGGATTGCTTGAGTCCAGAAGTTTGAGACCATCCTGGGCAATGTAGTGAGACCCTGCCTCTACAAAAAAAAATTTTTTTTAAATTAGGCAGGCATGGTGGCATGCACCTAAATTCTTTGCTACTTTGGAGGCTGTGGTGGGAAGATTGCTTGACCCCACAAGTTTGAGGCTGCAGTGAGCTATGAAAATGCCACTACAATCCAGGAATGAGACCCTATCCAAAAAAAAATTATCAAATCATTTCTTGTTCTACTGCTACTGTTGTTAATTGCTATGTTCCTACTGTCTGCCAGACTCTGTTCCAGGCGTTTTTTACTATATGTGTTAGTATACTTAATTGCAACACAGCACCACTTTTGTTTTACAGTTAACAGAGGTAGAGAATACATCTATAGTTTCAGCTCTAAGGCTGGGATTCAAACCCAAGTGTGCCTGACTCCAAATCCAGTGTTCTTTGCACGTACCAGGCCACTACTAGAGGATCTATGCATATGATTGCTGTTTCGTGTGTGTGTGTGTTTAATATGGATAATCATAAAAAAGTTTAATTTTAGGCTTGTCTTTTCAAGCTGTCTTTCCAATGGTTTGAAGACATGGTGGTTGGTCATCAGATGTCATTCAGTGGAATTCATTCACTAATCTTACAAATGTGCTGTTTGATTATAGTTGTCACAAATCCCTCTAGACAACTGTTTCTTCCAGAGCCTGTTCAAGACCTCAGCAGTGGCGGAGAGCCTGAATATGGCCAGTTTGCTGGCTGCCCTAGGAGGAGGAATTGGAAAACCACCCAGTCATCCTATGACTCTTTAGCCGAAAATGTAGGGACACGCTCTTGGGCCTTCTCTGAACAATGTCAAACAAAGGTTTTTAAAAAGCAAATGAACAGTCAATAAAAATAAAACAAAACAAAAATAGGTATCATATTGAACAGAACAGAGGCTTAGGCTTGCCTCCCACCATGCCCCAGCCTCCTATGCACGTGCATGCACACACAAACACTCCAAAGCACTTTTATTAAGCTTGTCTTTATTACTAATATTTTTCCACCTCTCTGCAGTGAAAAAGTAGAAGCTTGCCCATAGATAAGATGTCTTCAAAAATAACAACTATGAACACAACAAGTTTTCAGAGAAAGGGAGAAAAATTGTATTTACC